AGAGAGATGAGGGCAGTATAGACTTCTGTAAATTATTAAAAGGAATGTAAAAAAGAGGTGTAGAAGCTTTTTCAGGAGATATTTCTCTTTTTTTTTCTTTTGAAAAGTCAAAGCAGAGGGTCACATATTTGAAAGGACTAATTTTTGTTTTAGACCTCTATGAAAACTTATTTGCAAAAAAATGACTTATTTCGAAAATATTTGCTAAATTCGGCTCAGTTTCAGCCAACTGGTTGAAACTGGGTCGAATTTGGCGAAAAAACTTAAAAACTTCATGGGATTTGAAGTCCCGTGAAGTTTAAGACCCCATAAGTAAGTTGATTAGGAGCGCTAAAGCTTCAAAGGACTTGAAGTCCCGTGAAGTTATAAGCTTCACGGGACTTCAAGTCTCGTGTAGCTTCACGAGACTTCAAGTCCCGTGAAGCTTCAGGCTATATTCTAGAGAGCATCGCTCTCTGGACTTTAGCCTGCAACTCCACGAGACTTGAAGTCCCGTGGAGTTGCAGGTTTTAAAAAACATGCGCAAAATATGTGCATGTTTTTTATATACATGAAAAAATTTCACAACAATATACATGAATATTTTGCCTCATTCACAACAATATACATAAAATTTCCGCCTCATTCATAACAATATACATAAATCAAACAATACACACGAAAATCACATATATATTGAATTACAATAATATTCATAAAATTCAACCATGAGTCAAACAATATACACGAAAATTACATATATAAACAATAATCGATCCACAAAAGTAACAAATTTGAACAATCTAACCATATTGTTCTTGAAATTCATAAGCATATCAGATATGAATGTCACGTACATCCCAAAAGTCCTTCTCTCCTTCCTCTCCCTCTCTTACACCTTCCCCTCACTCCCCCCTATCCCCGTCCCCTCTGTCCATGCTGATGAGCATCGATGATCTGAGTATCTAGTTGTGTATGAGGCTGAGAAGTACCGGCTCCATCAACATGCACCGTGCTATGAGAAGTGTTGGCTCCGTCGTCACTCACCGCCCTTTGACATGTCCTACGTCGTCGCGTGTACACTTGACCAAATTGACGTGACATGTCCTCACGGCCTTCAAACTCGTCGACATGATTTTTATGGAACACGTTTGCTATTCTCTATCTGATCCTATTGAAGATCCCTAATACCGTCGGATCCTGAATGTTATTAATATGCTCATTTATATCAGCCTCAATCTCATTAAAAGCATTGATCTGCGAGTTAATCAATATATACACAACTTCAAGGTCCTTCAACATGCGAGAGTATACTCCATTGTGATTCACCGATTTGCCCAAATTTCTGTAATGTTTTTTAATAAATAATTCTACCGAACGCTTCTCGTCATGCAATAATCCAATAAGACCCATATCGTAGTCACTTGATATTTGAATGCCACTTGTTTTGTTCCTCATAACAGCATAATTGCAAATAACGTTGAGGTGATACTCACATGGATTGGTTAATGTAAGTTTATGTAAGTCATTAACCAATTCATCGAAAGTACATGATTTTGATATAAACAACGGCTTTGTCACACCTCCTCCATATACAGACATATTATTCTCGAGATAGTTAATCTTTTCATCATATGAGAAAAGAATTACGATTCGATCGTTCATCATTATCTCTAAAGAGTAAAAAAAATCCAATATCAATATTACACGAAAAACACAAAAAAAAATATTATTTACCATTAAATACTCTAATATCGATTTCAGAAATCCATAATTTTAACCAAATGTTGAACCTTTATAATACACTAACTTTTACAATTTTCGATAATTTCCCCTCTAACTTCATACACAAATTTCTTTAATTTTTCTTCACAAAATTCATAAATTTTTCAAAAATTATTTTTAAATCTAAATTTAAACAAGTTATTAGCATAAAATAGTGAGAATATATAAAAAAATTAGGAGAATTTTTTAAAAAGATTTTACCTAAAATTTTCCAATGCTCTAATTTCTGGTTAACTTCGGCGGTGACAGCGGTGTTAGGTATCATGTTTATGAGCCTACTATCTAATCTAATTTTGATAATTAACAAATAATTTCTAACAATATTAGTCGAGTGTTTATATTTGCTTGTTAGGTATTCTACACAAAGATTCTCCGGTGGAGGTTGGATGAACTTGCACCTACACGATCATATTCATTGGAGGATGGAAGGAATTTGGAATGAAGAACGATGCACTCAAGTCCAAGACTCACTATTGCTTCATCCATACTACATAGAGGAGGATTGCCCAAGATCAAGCGTCAAGAGATCATTTAGCTTGGGTATATTAATTAGTTTAGTATATTTATACTTTGTGTGTTTATACTTAGAGCTCAAATTATACACACACATAGTTTATGTTTTATTGCTTTCAAGTTTAACAATATAAATATAAAACAAATGGATATAGCTATATACACACATATTTATTTCATGTTTATACGTACTTGAAATAATTTCATTAAAATCAAGCTTTAACAATTTCAAATCAATAAAATCATGTTTACCATTTTCATATTTTTGATAGTTTGCACAATATGTATTTACGGATTAAAAGACTCGATTATATTTTCTATACAGTATATTAATCCATTCAAAAGAAGTTTCAAACTTGTTTGAAATCATTTTGTCAAAATCATGTGTTTTTTTGAGATTTCGTATTTTGACCAATTTTGCAAAATGATGAGTTTTCACAAATGAGAAATGAAATTTAAAAAATTCTTTTTGTAACATATTTATTTTCATGTTTATAAATATTTTTTAAAGTTTTATAATTTCTAGAATTTATTTGCTATTTTTTAAAGGGGTTCAAAGTTCGATTTTATTGTTTTTATGTGTGACTGTGCATGTTATCAGTCGACTGATGAGGATCATCAGTCGACCAATGAAAGTGGCTGGCAAGGCTGAAATATTTTGCTCAGTCGACTGATGAACCATCAGTCGACTGATGAACCATCAGTCGACCGATGAACCATCAGTCGACCGATGAACCATCAGTCGACCGAAGCAGGTCATCAGTCGACTGATGATTTCATCAGTCAACCAATAAAGGGTGAGCAGCCTGTAACGGTCAGCTCATTAGTCGATTGATGAACAGTATCAGTGGACTGATGCCTGTAATGGCTAGTTTTTTTAGTTTGCTAATTTTTTGGGTTTTTGTCTTTTTGCTTGGATTTTCTTGGTTTTTGAGCTTTGTTTTGTGATCCTATATATACCCCTTACCCACAAACTTATGAACTAACTAAGAAAAATAAAATAAAAGTTTTGGGCAAGTTTGTTTAGTGTTTTATAAGTGTTTATGTGAAGCGGTTTTCACAAGAGAAAGAAGAGATCATCTATTTCGTGCTTGAGCTTCAATCTCAATCTCTTTCACTCTTGTTTTCAAAGAAGTTTTCTCTAAACTCAATTTCTAGCTTTATATATTTGTTGATTAACCATTTCATTAAGCTAGATTTCATATTGAGTTTAGTTTTGATTATTGCTCATTGTTTACACACACACCCCTTGAGCTTAAGTATTTTTACATATAGTATAATTATTGGGTTGTGGGGTTGTAACATTGAGAGTGAGCTTAATTGAGTTCTCATCTTTGTATTAGAGAACAAATCTTGTATTTACACTTTTATTGTGAGATCACATTGTAATACACAAGGACACCGAGAGAATTGGTTGGGAGAGACGGGGTCAATGCTAAGAGGAGTGACGTTGGTAGTAAAGCCTAGGGAGAGGTGATAAATCCAAGTACTTGAGCAAGGTGGCATGGGCTAGACCAACACTTAGAGGGTGTATTGTATGATTACAATTGTGTGTGTTGTAAACGTTTATCAGTGAGCGTTGAAAACCGATTGTGTAGCCATTTGTGAAGATAGTGGAGATTCTCCTCGAGGGTGAGGAGCGGAGACGTAGGTCGTGGGTCGACCGAACTCCGTAATCATTTCTTTGTGTTTACGAATGCCTTGGCGTATTTCTTTGTGCTCATTGTTCATCATATTGCTATATCGTCATTGTTGCATGTTTATATCGCCTATTGTTTTAATTATATATCATTGCTCATAATTTATTAAATATCATACTTGCTAGGATATAATCATTAATAAGTTTTAAATCGGCATTAATCAAATTATATTAGCAAATACCATATTCCCCCCCCCCCCGAGAGAGAGGGAGTTGTTGTCGGGTAAACGCGATAAGAAATCGCGTGGGCCTTATATAGGCCCTGCCCCAACTCCACGGGACTTCAAGTCCCGTGGAGTTACAGGTTAAAATCCAGAGAGCGATGCTAAGCTTATAACTTCACGGGACTTCAAGTCTCATGAAGCTTAGGCACTCCTAATCAACTTGCTTATTGAGGCTTAAACTTCACGGGACTTCAAGTCCCGTGAAGTTTTTTAAGTTTTTTCTCCAAATTCGACTAAGTTTCAGCTAGTTGGTTGAAACTGGGTCGTATTTGCCATGGTTGAAACTGGGTCGAATTTGGCAAATATTTACGAAATAGGTCTTTTTTGCAAATAAATTTCTAAACAGGTCTATTTTAAAAATTTATCCTTAAATATAATATTATGTATCTACATGCCATCTTCTGATAGGATAAAGGGGCACGTGAATACTTATGATATGACACACGTTAATTTTTTTGTGTCTTTATAATGTGACACATGTCAATTTTCTGTACCTATAGGCAATCCACCAATTTCTCTTTATATGTGAAGGAGGGACATTATTACTATTATTATTTCTATTATCATCATCGTCGTCATCTTTATTAACTTTAATTTAATAAAAATAATGAACAATAGGCTAAAAGTGTAATTACTAACTTGTTTAACAAACTCTTTCAAACTCATGTGAGAATAAATGAACCTTCTGGTGCTTTTATACTTTTCTTTCTTTTGCCAAGGTTGCTGAAGCCCATGCTACCGGTACATCCAATGTACTAAGATTGGTATTGTAAGTTGTCAGTAGAATTAACAAGAACAAGAAACAGAAAGCAGTCTGATTTATTAATAATTATTGTGGCCAGATTGACGGAAAATTAACTTCGAATATAATTTTAGGGAAGTGTTATGTTAATCCTCACAATCTACCCCATGACAATAACAACTGGGGTAAAATACAATTTGGGATAGATTTACTTAATTCTCATTCTATCCCATGGGAATTGTTGAACATCACCCTTCAACACCTCCACGGTGTTATCATAGGGTTTTATCATACATTTTCATGTTTTTAAAATCAACTGATATTCACAAACAGTTGCAATAATTTGATTCAGAAACCATTATCAGTTGTCAGTGCCAAAATAACGATCACCGAACTCCCCCAACCCTGGAATGACACGGAACTCCTCATTCAACGCCACGTCAATCTCTGACGTCACAATTTTCAGTGAAGGGAAACGCTTGCAAACACAATGGATCCCTTCTGGTGCCTGAATAACCACCAAGAAATCAATCAGACTATTAGTCAAGTATTATCTGCACAGTGAAACTGCAATAAGTTGGCATTTGAATTGAAGGTAACAGAAAGCTCACGGATATGAGGTTCAGGAAGATTATGCGATTCTCTGGAACACCTTTCTTTATGAGGAGTTCTATTGCCTGGTTAGCAGAGTTACCTGGAAGCATCAAGAGTTCACGTTCTTATAACTTAATATTATGCCAAAAGAAGGGAAAAGGTGATTAGCGTTCTAATCATACACAAGAAGTAATTACAAAAGCAATAATGGAGAGCACAGAGTAGTTTAATTCTAGAATTGGGTGCAAAGAACCCACAGAATGAAGAAAATCAGCGAACATTTAGTTTAGCAAACGGATATGATACATCCAAGACTAACTATGGACTCTTTCACTTGCTTAATATTTCATAAATGTCATCAAAGTTAGCTCCCATGCGCACTACTGTTCTGCATAATGCATGACCAACTTGAAAGATGCTCCGCAAATTTTATTTTTTTTAACGTCTACCTAAGGGTAAACCTGACATTCTTGTTGTAGTTGGCATATACAGTAACCCTATTGAGGTCCGCTTGACTGCTTTAGGCAGATGATGTGTCAGGTGTGAAGCCAAATCCAAATAGGTGTTGCATGTGAAACTAGCCTAATCCCCAGTTTATCCAATCTTTTTTTATTAATTTTATAATAAAATTATATTTCAAACATATTTCACCCACCTTTAAGGCTTTAACCGATCAAGTTCTCAAACAAATTTCTTGGTCAAAAGTTTACCAAATCTATCTGATCGAAGTCCATCACCTCTGTTCCGCATCATTCAATATCAGAGCCGAATAGATCCAATGTTGCAGTTTCAATATAGGCACTACAACAATTCAAATTTCAACAATGATATCCTTTTAAACTCGAGGTCGAGCTTCTCTAGCAGTGCGAGATTTGATGCAGGATATCTAGAAGATACATTAGTTAGGATTTATTTTAGAATTTGATTTCTCTTTAGTTGAGATATTTAGTTAGAATTGAAGTTGTTATTTAGTTATTAAATCTGTTCTGTTGTAAGTGTTGATGTTATCTATTAGTTAGGATTAGGACTTGTTTTATTCCTACTAAAAGAGTTGTATTTTTCATTTTGAGGAGCATGAAGAATTGACATGAATAAAAGTTGGAAGTAGAGTAATGGAAGTGAATCCTTCTAAGTGCGGAAGTATTATTTCTAGTAGGTATGTGATGTCCCAGGTGCGAAGCCAACAGGTGCGATGTAAAATCAGTTAGGTGTTGTCTGCGACGCCGGCCTAGCCCAATCTATATTATGTTTGTTATCTGTTTGTCCTTTCATTTACAATCATAGCTCTCTAAAAGTTCATCACATCCGTTCCACAACACAGGGCATTTCTCCTTGTGCTTCATATTCTAAGGATTTGGACTCTAATAAAAATAGTTAGGGAACTTGGGATATACAAACAAGTCTGCTCTATCCAAGTCCCTGATGTTTTCATATCAGATACAACATCCCTATAGATATGGTGGGGTAGAGGATCAACAGGAAAGATCCATATCATAACAGAGAAATTCACCAATAACCAATCTGCATGCTATATTTTAATAATTTTGCTACAAAGCGATAATGATACTAACCTGTAGCAAGAACAGGGTCAAGAAGTAAAACATGCCGTTCAGAAATATCATTGGGAAGCTTCTCATATATCAGCTGATTTTCGTTGATATGAAAAAAAGAAAATAACATAGCTTAGTGTGAAGTTCTCACTCAAGCAAATGTATCCCTAATTATCTGAATGCTCACCTGTTTTCCATTGTCTCCATCACGGTGAATGAGAATTTTTCCGATTTTTATTCCTTTACAACAAGCCCGTAGTGCATTCTCCATGCTTTCACCACTGCGAGTAATCAAGAAGAAATAGATGATAGTTCATACCCATAAATGTCAACACTCTCAGAAATGTAGTACAATGTCCTGATAGGTTTCAAAGAAAAATGGCGTACCTTTTTTAGCAATGAAAAGAAGAAACATGATGATATTATAGAGGAATATGAATAATACAATGCAATGGCTGATGTGATACATATGAATTTGATCTTTAATGTAGATTAGTTATATATCTCTCAAGTCATTGACTTGAAACGAAAAATGTATCTTCATTGTCGAGTAGATAAATTCTGGTATATATTAGAAATCTGACACGTACAACTTTGATTGTGCACATTTCTAGCTTCAGAACACTGAAAAGAAAAGATTGCTTCATGATTAAGTAATCTTACTTCATGAAAGCAATTAATCTAGACAGCAATACGCTTCAGAAACAACATTGTTGAATGAAAACAGTTAACTTGTATCTATGCCTCTGCTGACACTACCCCAAAGTCAGTCTAGGGAGTATGAAATCGGCCAAATTCCCAGGCTCAAAAAATATTTTAAGCTCTTTTGCTCATAAAACGTGCAGTAGAGTTACCAAAAAACAATTTTGTTACAGTAACTGCTGGTTGACATCTTGATGTAGCTCAATGCCCATTGGAACCTTCCTTTGTTAATTCATCTTACCCGAGGAATTTGTAAAAAGAAAAATGTCACGCATATTCGACCTTTCACAGATCAGATTGCAGGGCAAGAAATTATTACCATTTATCTGAAGACAAGAAAATTTACAGTCAACAGTGGAACCTTAATTCCATTTCACTCCCTAATACTATTTTCTCTAAAGATGTATTCGCGTCCAAGGTATGTGATAGATGCATCTCTCAGGTGACGAAAGAACAAAATATTTGGGACCCGAGGAACCAATCACTTTGGAACCTAAATATATCAATTATCGTGATATACATCCAGCATTAACTAAGATCTGCCGGGAACTTTTTGTGCATCATGGACACTCTAGCTCTACTATATATCATCAGACCACTTGCATACAACATCCACAGAAACTAGTAAGGTGCATATAACTATCATAACAGGAAGAGATTTTTTTTAAAAAAACCTTAGCAAGTATCAGACGGTTTTTTACAGCAATTGTTAGTAAAATATCATAGTAAATGTCCGTCATTATTTTCAATTGATGTAATGAAGATAATACAAGTAAAAAGCTAGCACTTTGAAGAAAATAAAGAAATACCTGTTTCTAGGCTCACCTTCGGATAATAGACACTCCGCAGAGTTTCTTGCAAAAGTCAACTCCAGTGTACACAGAACCTGAAAGGAAGATAGGTTCAAATTAAGTGTCAGAATTACAAAACACCAAAAGTTGATTAAAATTTGGAAGGCCATAGCATAGAAATAAGAGGCTTAGACAAAAATTATGAAGGCCATAGCATAGAATCAGAGGGTTAGACAAAAAGAGGAGTTGATGGTCTTAGTGGATGGATGGACAAGTTTCTTCTGGTAGGGGTTGAGATAGTGGTAGTTGGAGTAAGAAAGGATCGAGAGATTTGCTTCTTTTTTTTTCTCGGTGGGATAAAAACATGAGAAGAATTTGTTAGCATGACCCTTTGCCCTCTTAAAAGCAAAGGACTATATATATTCACATTTCTATTGCTATTACAGAAAGTGTGTATACATAGGCCTAATATAAGCATAACAACATTTTTCTAAAATTAAAATTCAATTTTTAATGTTGAAAAAAAATTACAATGAACAATTATATTTGCACCCTAAAATTAATTAAAGCAAAACTTAGATCTATCAAAGCAAATACCATATCAAAAAATATTGGCCAAAAGAAGATCTCCAAGCAGATACACAAAGGGGAAAAATATATGATGACTCAATATGCTGGGCTGAAAGGAAATTCCCTACCAACTTAAATCTCTTAACTGGGATATAAATGTGTAGTCTACAACTGTAATATGACCACTATATGTTGAAACTTAAAATTATCTTCAGCAACTGTTATCTTGGGGTTCAAATCTCTTCCCCCTTAAAACCCATCTTCCTACCCTTTCTGTGCGAGCAGCATCAGCATCTAAGCTCCATCACTGTTAAAAGGCCGGATATAGCACACATAGGCTACACCAAAATATTGACCATATATGGTAACAAGCATCATTCAACTCCTTGGTTGGTGAAAGCTTCCCTTGAATGCACTTGTCAAGAAAAAAAGAGTGATTTAAGTTCTTGCAATAGATGAGAAATCCTTCAGAATTTCTATGCATAGGAAAGTAGTTTTGATGAAGGCATGGATAACAGGAATTTCCATATAGCAATGACTATAAAATGCAATCATCATCGATTAAAATGAGTGTTTGCTGTCTTGTAATTATTTCCCATAAATGGCTTAAAAGTAAACCTACAAGATTCTATTCCTCCAAAAGCTTTGTGTAGGTAGCACCACTCGAAGATACAATTACTAGGGTTCAACACATATGCTGCTTGGCAAAAGACAACTAGGGAAGGCTCTTGGCTGTTTACAACTACTTCCACCAACCACAGCCATGACGCAAGGACAAAGAACAAGACAAGGTTCTTTGGCACTTTATTTTGTAACAGGCAGATTTTTCCTACTTGTTTTTCTCTCTCCAAATATGCTACCTCAGATAAAAAAGAAAAAGATTACCCCTCTTCTTAGACAAGTTCATGGTGGGTAAATTGAAGCTTAATTCCAAGTTGGGATAAAAAAGAAAGGATTACCCAGAAAGAAATTTTCACAAAAACAATAAGCAATGAAATCTTTTTGTCATTATCCTTTAAATATCTGTATCTTCATCCAGATGATAGCATAGAAAATCTTAACAGTATCTTCAAAGACTATACCACAAGCTTATACTACCATAGTCAATGATTCAGTAATAAGGTAAGCTCAATATATAAAAGACATGAAACAATTACGTGATGCCAATTTCCACAAGGGACAGAGAAAAAAGCACTGCATCAAGCTTTGCAAGGGGTTAATTTAGCAACATGCAACTGGCTGTTGAGCTAGGTAGTGTGGATACGGGTGTGGACACGGACACGGACGCTGTTGCCGGCACAGGACTCAACAGATTTGTAAAATGTAGGATACGGGGACACGGCTTTATACACACTCAATAATACACACACACACACATTAGATTAAATATTGAATTAAAATACCTATAACATGTGTATGTTTCTTTATATTATCTAAAACAATCAAGAATCAAGTTAAGTCAAACTAAAACTAAGGTTTAACAATAAACGTTTAGTTTTGCTCGTATGGGATAATACGATGAGTATTTTCTAATATTTAAGTAATGGGTTTCAATTTCTAGGTTAAAAAACCGATTGATTTTTAACCCAATATTACCAAAGAAACTAGTCTAGGGTATTAAGTAGTACGGAATCGGGTTTTGCTTTGAACCATGCGTGTCCATGGCATGTCCATGGAGAATCCGTGTCCAACACGTGTCGGACATGGACACGGCGCCAAAACGCTGTGCTCGAGTACCCTAGCTGTCAAGGTTGATGTTTCATTGGCCACCTGATCACAAAAAGATTTCTAATTTAGACCATAACTCAATTGCCCCTAAATGCAGCTCAAACATGCCAGAAGCAATCTACAATCTGTTGTATCTCTTTCTAAAATCAACATTATCTTTATCAGAAACACAACAGCTGAGCATGTCAGTTGATACATTACTCTCCCACCAATGACGCCCCTACTTAGAATGTTAGTCATGGTCTTGACACTGTCAACCACTCAGCCATTTTCTAACCCAAAACTGCATCCACTGCAGAAACACCTTGTGCATATCAACTTTAGATGCATCCTACTGAACGAAGCAAGAAGATAGCAATAATATTCGCATACTACCAACCATAAAAAGAGGAGCCGTTGTACTTGCATACGTGTAACTACACATGTAACAGAAGCTACATGCAACTAACAAAAAATTTGAAGGGCTTGAGAAAAACAAATTATACGATAAAGCAAGATGATGGAAAATGTGCACCAATGATGCAAGTCTTTAACCTGGTAGAGCTAGCCTATTTGGACCCAGCCTATATCCAACTCAATGGTTGAATGGTCAATGATTGGATGGGGGTCTGTTACCAATGCACAACATTGGCTTGTAGGCAAAGTTGTCGTTAATTTGGACTCAATTCACACAATTGAATTTGGAATTAGTACCAAGTTTTGATTCCTGTAGATATAAACACACCTTCTAAAGAAACCTATTCAAATCCAACCCCTAAGATGGTTCAACTCAACTCCAAATGACTAACCAATGGATTAGATATGTGCCAAAATAATGGAGCCAAAGCTGGGTCTCATCTTGGTCAAATTATAAGATAAAGCAAGAAGATGGTATATGTGCACCAATGATGCAAGTCTTTAACCTGGTAGAGCTAGCCTATTTGGACCCAGCATGTATCCAACTCAAATGGTTGGGTGGGGGTCTATTATCAATAGAAGACAACAATGGTTTGTAGGCGAAGTTGTCGTTAATTTGAACTCAGTTTACACAATTGAATTTGGAATTAGTTCCGAGCTTTGATTCCTGTAGATATAAAAACATCTTATAAAGAACCCTATTCAAACTCAACCCCTAAGATGATTCAACTCAACTCCAAATGACTAACCAATGCATTAAATATGTGCCAAAACAATGAAGCCAAATCTGGGTCCCATCTTGGTCAAATTAGACCAAGACGCACTACTGCTATACCCATAATCGAATGGTCAACAAGATGGATACTGAGAAGTTAATGTTAGAAGTATTTTTCATATGGCATATGGGTAAGTACAAAAGACGATATAATAAATCATAATGAAAAGAGCTGATGAAAATAAAGTGATCGTAGGACCTTATAATATGACAAAGCAACATAAAGAAATATCTGGAATCTGAATATACATGAAATGCATATTTAGATGAAGGAATTGCATATTAGAATACTTCATAACTCATAAATAGAATATGAATATTAATGAAATAAATATTCAGATGAAAGAATTGCATGTCAAAACATTTCGCAACTCAATAACAGAGTATACATGCACTCTTCACGGTACGATGGGAAAAGTAACCTTGCAACTAATTACAAACATTGAGAAATTAAGAGCATTAGAAGTAACATGTTTTCAGCTGAAGGAACTGGATACTGACATGGGGAGAACAAGATTTAGACCGCTCAAAAGATGAATGTGAAGTATCATATTAAGATCACAACCACCCCCCCCCCCCCCCCCCAAAAAAAAAAAAAAAAAGAAAAAAACCCAAAAAAAGGAAAAAAGAAAAAAGGCGACATTCATCATAGGTATAACATGAATAGTATGCAGAAGAAAGATGTGTATCAGACTTGGTGTACAGCACGAAAACAGCATAAGTTTTCTTGAAAATATAAAGGTGAAGAAAGATGAAATAAAATGAATGTAAGGAACTCATAATTATACCTGTAGGTGTAACAACCTGTTTCTCAGTGAATGGCAAATGGCCAAGGCCATGTTCCACAACCTGACAGGGGTATGCTTATGTTACGAACATACGCAGAATTTTATGTTACATATACTCCATTCTAGATGAAATTAATTCAAGGTAGAATGTACCAGTCGAATAAGCCGATCTGAATAGAAAACAAAATCAGGAGTAGTTATATCCCGGTCACGGATAAGCGTATGCATACCTCTTATCTGCTCAAACAAGCTATCAGATGCATTAGTAGAATATAAGATTCCACCATGAGTGTTTTGGGAGGATGCTGATGTTTACATATGCAAGAAAAGGTGAAGCTAAATACCTGGAATGTTGATTGAATGACATATACATTAGGGTAAATTTTGCATAAGTCATGCTGGCCAAGCTTTGTTCGAATATGTTGTACAATTAGATCAACTGCAACGTGGTTATCACCTCCCCGTGGTATGATCACATCAGCATACTTCTTTGAGGGAAGAACAAAATCATCAAAAGCCGGCTTGACAAACCGCCCATACTGTAGTTCAGCAGAGTTGCGAGTTAGATTCTGCACAGTAACATATTTTTATAGCTAAAGACACATAAAAAGTGGTCAAAGTAGTGATAGAATCTTTGAGAAACGGTTGTCATAACTTAAAAATCCATCATGAAATGGCAGAGAAACAGATGAATTTACAAGGTTATCTCATAAACAAATAATAACAAAATCTCTGAAACAATCAAAGCCCGCTGCCACTAATAGAAATGAAAGTTTCCATAATTATGTTTTATTTACACATTTTGTTTCTACAAGAGAAAATATAACAAGCAAGATAAGGTAGAAAATTTGACAAAGTGCTCTATCTAGTCTTCATTACAAAGCAAGGTTTTAAATATCGGTTATCGGAGATTTATCGAATGGTCAAAATCCATGTCGGATAGCGGATATCGGTGATAAGTAGTATTTATAAGAGTGACATTGCCGGATGGTGATATACATAATATAATATTCTAAAATATAATCTAGTCATACTTAATGAAATATAAACATACCAAAATGTAAATAATTATGTTTAGCATCACTAACCAATGGTAGAAAATCGGGTCAGGTCGGGTTTAAAGTGCATTGAATAGGTGCCTCTTGTCCAAAATCAAAACTCAAACAAAAAGGCCGATAATTCTGATTTTTTGAGCCGACAATATCAGCCGATAACTCACTTTATCGCCGCATTATCGGCGATAAACATCCAAAAATAACAACTGATCTAGAATCGAACTTATCATCGCGGAAGGCCCCCAAAACCGATAAATCGTCGATAATATCGGTTTATCAGCCGATATTTAAAATATTGTTACGAAGCAAAAGACAACTACATGTTTATCTGTGATTAACAAGATATGGATTGATGTCTCTAAGATGTAACTTTTTGCAATGCTTCATTTTGAATCTCTCAAGACGATTACATATCATCACTTGATCTCCTTCATCACGTGCTTTACTTCTAATTACTCTCTTTATAAAGCATGTAAATTGTCAATATGATAAGAAAATGATTTAAGCAAATTGAGTCTTTCTCATAGTCTTACTAGAATTAAGAGTTAAATTGCAGATAGACGCCATATCCTATCGCCAAATTGAACTTACTATCCCCATAGTTCTATTGTTGCAGATAGACCCCCGAGAGAGTCCTGTTGCAGTGAAAATCTATTACAATTTATAGCAAATAGACCCGATGTAAAGGGTCAAAAAAAATTAACTCGGGAAATATCTGCAGCAATAAAACAACTCTAAGGGTAGTAAGTTACAATTTGGCGATAGTACAGGGGTGTCTCTCGGTAATTAACCCAAGAATTTATGCAAGTATATTCAGCAATAAGTAGGGACAACCTAATACTTGGCCTAGCTTCAATCACGCACCTTAAGAATTACATTATGACAGATCAGAAACTAAAATTTTCAGGAAATAAGAGTTTATGAAGAAACTCAGATTTATGTTCATTAAAAACTAAAAGTAAAAACTGAGATAAAAAGCTTCCACTTTAAGCACAAACTAGGTTGTATAGAACCAATTGCATAATATCTATATCACAACGATGGACACGAGATATGAAATATAATACAGGAATGCGACTATTATATTTAAGAGATAAGAGTTAAAGTGATTCCTGAATGATTTATAACCGAATCCTTCCCATCCAAATTCAATATTTAATCATTCATATGAAATATTCACTCTGTAGAAATTGATGTACACAGTCTAAAGTGCCCAAAGATTTAAAAAAAAGACAAGTGTTTAAAAATTTTAATCAAAGGTGAAAGATAGATGATCTAAAAAGTGAATTAATTACTTCAATTGTGTAGAATGTTCAGACTAACAAAACTTGATGTGTAAGGGTGAGTGCTTTTTTATCTAGATCACATGTTTCAATCAAAAAAAATCTTTTAAGCGTAGGCCTAAAACAAAGTACCATTTTCTATCCATTTTATGCCTACATGATGCACGGGAAAAGTTGAAATACTTGTTGTCAGGTTAATAGGATTTTATAAATGGTGATGAACAACTTTAACCATGTGGGAAAAGGATGGGACAACATCAAATCCCCATAGAAAAGACATGGGACCAAGATCCTTCCAAAAGACGAGAACATTTCTGGTCAATTTACACGTCTTCTAAGAGGAAATCTTCCCTCATCCCCATTTTAAATAACCAATGGATTTCTAGTCCAATGATTTTGTGTAAAAATACAGGGTATAACATCATTGGACAAACACGAATTGCGTAGTTTATTCTTCTTTTGCACATCCTAAATAGTATAGGGATGAAATAGAACAAACTTTGAAAACATTTAATCCATGCATCAAACGGAGTCTTCCATCTGTAGATTAAATCATATATATTTTTGCAAAAAAAAACTATAAATAATTTGAATCATCCATAAAAGGATGATTTTCAAAACAACCATATTTTAAATTGAATTATAAAAACCAAAACTTATACTTATACAGTTTTTCCATGTCATCGACTAACATTGATGACATGGTCAAAAAGTTGGTCTACTACTATAAATAAATATAAAATATGGTTGTTTCCAATGATTCTATTTATGTTTTTCTAATTTTCCTTATTTTTTATTTGAGATGTTTTCATAAACCTTTTCAACAGACTATTATAATCACATTGGACATGTTCAGCACATATTGTACATATTTTCGTATTTGTTTATTCATAGCCAAACAAGACATGTTTTAAAAATCCTTTTACTATTTAAAAATGCAAAAAACCTGAATATAGAAAATATCAAATATTAAAGGAAAAAGGAAAAAAATAACTTTTAAATAGAACATACGTGTATGAAATAAGAAAATAGAAAAAAAAAATTCAAAAATATATCATATATATATAATACTTATCTATATAGTATATTATATATATATATATATCAATGATATTATATCTTATATGAGAAAATAGAGAAACTTGGTACCAAGTTGCTCAAGGCAACTTTGTAATGATGTGCGTCAATCTTATCCCTACATCCTACATTGGATGGTTGGTAAGGGTGGTTGAGGCTCTATCTTCAGGCTGCTGATGGTAGGGGCAAGATTCTACGTTCACATCCCACTACAAGTTGTTTAAGCAACTGGTACCAAGTTTCTCTATTTTTCCTATATATATATTATATATATATAATTATATATAGATATATAATGTACACACGCATTATCGATAAATTCGCATTGATGAAGCTTATAAAATTCCCCACTCATAAAGTAATTTTTTTTCAAAATACTTAACACTTAAAAAGGATCCAATTCATACAAATTTTTTAACAGAATAACGTGGTCTTTGCATGTCATCAAATGACATGGACAAAAACGCGGTCTATTAATGATTTAACTTATTGGCTTTTATAATTAACCTTTGAATTTCATTAAGATGACCATCACAATACGTACACGAAGTCCTCACCAATGTTTATGACCTCATTTGAAAATTTTTCTACGATAAAATTTATATATATATATATTTATATATATATATATATATATATAATAATAAAGCGGCTGAATTATGCTTAAACTTAAGTGCGAACAAGAGGCATTTGTCCACCAACTTTCTATCCACTCATATATCATATATATATATAATATATAATATATAAACAAGGTCTCTCCATATCTGCATGGTCCTAGAGTATCATCCAATGGATAGAAAGGTTACCGCTGGATGCCGTCAACTTAAGCCTTGACTAAGAATCTCTCTCTCTCTCTCTTCTCTCTATATATAGGATATAATATATATATATATATATTACTCTTCTGGTTCTTACGTTCGGTGTACGCTTTTTTTTCCTTTTATCTCTTTATCTACCTCTGGGCGTCGTCTCATATTATATAATATATATATATATATATTCGTGCATATATATAGATACTAAATACAAGTTATCGTCTTATTTAGTAAAATGAGCTACCAAGAGATAAGAACGGTGAGTGATCACCTGCTCTAACGTAACTGGGTAAAGGGCCTCTCCATTAGTTTAACTCTTGGTAACTTATTAAACAAAATGAGCTGCCACCTCAAATTTTCTTATACACACATATGTACACATATATAATAATATAAGTAAACACATTTGTGTAATTCCCCAAACCACCCCCACCTCGAACTCTTGTACAGTCCATATGAATTGATTCCCAGTACATTTGTGAACCGATTTCATCTAATACATAAATTGATTCCCCATTATATGTGTACTGCTTACAAGTATGTGGAGCGCAAAGTTCCTTTGTGTGCACATGAGCAAGGCACAATGTGTTGCGCGCAATCGAGTGAATCAAAGGCGTAGACCGCACACAAAATAAACAAACAAGAATGCAGAACCATATTTATAAGTTTTCACTCAGAATCGTTTGGATTTGGAATTAGCTAAAGATGTATTTGATGCTAAGGGGAAGAAAGTTCAAAGGAGGGGAAAAAATACTAAGGGCTTAGTCTGTAATTTATATGTTTTTCTTATGTATTCAGAAACTTTGAATATGACACATTGAAATGTTTTTCTTATGTATTCAGAAACTTTGAATATGACACATTGAAATATCTCGTATGCAAAATTATTGAAATTCATAATTAGCTTTTTAGTTTCTAGCTTTTTTACTATACACCTTGACAATGATAAGTGGGTCAAGAAAATTTTACAACGATTCACATACCAAACTTGCCTACTCTCAAAATTCAAATTTTCTAAGCGGTGAATTGTGTACCCGAATTTGTACCACAACCTTCTACGTACCGCATACTATGCAACTATGTAAATAAATACATGTACATCAGTACATATATATTATATATAGAAAAGATGGCTATGAGGAAACAGGTAGCGTGGAAAGAAATCGAATTGAAAACTATGATAATCGAATTCGATAAGTCTTGCAAAATTCGAATTTGATTTGAATGTGAAAGCTTTATTCGAATTTGACTTGCATCTATAATTGTTGATTAGCCCTCCAACTTATTCCTTCATTTAATTTTACCCCTCAATTTAACCAATAAAGAATAGTATATAGTAAGTTTTCTATATGGGACTAAAATGTAAAACATGAATGAATATTTACTAATCAACCAAATCAAATATACATCTAGTTGAACTCTTTGTTTATGAATGGAAGATTAAGATATATTTGTTTACTATTAAATGAACTATCGAGTCGAACATAACCGAATAGTTAGACGAACTACTGACAAGCTATTTGTTAATTGTTTGGTTTGTTTCCACCCCTAATGAGAAATTATTTTACTAAATGAAATACCAAAATATACATTGGTGACGAGATATATATACACATGCATGTATAGAAAACATGGATATGAGGTAGCAGCTCATTTTGCTAGATGAGCTATAGAAGATAGACAGGTAATGACGTCCACTATACCAATCACATCAAAAAGAGTAAGCATCACCAATTTGATTTCTTTGAAATGTATTTTGCTAAGTGCGGTGGTACCACCAGCTCACGTGTAGCATCTTATAGACACGCACATAAACATATGTGACATGCATCAGACTAAGGGCTCTGATCTTGAGTTGGACTTGATTTGAAAGTTAATGAAGCATGATCATACCCTTTATTTGTTAATTGTTTGGTTTGTTTCTAGCCCAAGTGAAAAAATATTTTACTAAATGAACTTCCAAGACATTTAGTACTGATGAGATTATATATACATAGGTACACACATGTATGGATAACACTGACATAAGGTAACGGCTCATTTTGCTAGATGATCTGCAAAGAAATAGACATGTGATGAGTCTCATACTACTAGATACACCAAAAAGACTAGGCATCACCAATTCCACATATTTAAAGTGCATTTTTGCTAAATGAGGTGGCATTGGCAGTTGACATCTAGCAGCGCACAAATACACATGTGATGATGATCAGACCAAGAGCTCTGATCTTGCGATGGATTTGATCCGAAAGTTAGTGGAACATGATTAATAATGAATGAATCTGAGCTAGCATGGTGCTCTATAGTCAATGGGGCTCGAATAGGTGTTTGAGGAACTGTAATGGACGACAAAAAGAACGTGTAAAACTCTTCTCTAATATTTGAGAGCTTATATGTTATTGTTTACCCTTCATGTAAACAGTAACCGCGAAGGCTTTAATTTCAACTCTATTTAAGGAACCACAAGCAGTATTCGCATAAACAGTGACCGTGAATACCATTCACGTAAACAGTAACTGCGAAGGTTTTAATTTCAACTCTATTTAAGGAATTGTATGCATCTTAAAGGAGAGAGAAGAAGAAAGTATGACAACCTTGGTGTTTTGCGAATTCACTATATGTAAGCTGCAGTTGCCTTAGGAGTGATTCCTTAGTTGCCATTGTGCATGAAGCCGGCCTAACTTAAACCTTAATTTAGCTTTCTATTCTGGTTTATGATCCTACATCCAGTGCTTCAACTAATCTTCAAAACTCATTTCACCTCAAAAAAGCAAAATCACTCATATAGTCACATTAAAACCAACCAAAAACCCACATCCCAAACAGCTGCCTCTGTTCATATTTATTGATGATGTCATTATGACATCACGATGACATCATCCCCAAAAATTAGCCCCCACCACCTAAAATCTCATGGCCGTCTACTCTCTCCTCTTCATTTAACCTACATAATGCTAGATCTCGAACCCCTAATCTTTACTTTTTGTAAATGATTACTTCATTGACAATGACGTAATGATAACATCATCCCCATTTGTCACAGCTCGAACTAAGACAAATATTAATAAAAATAATAGTAAAATCAAGGCTCGTGATAGTCAGAAGTATTAATAAAAATGATAGTAAAATCAAGGCTTGTGATAGTCGGCCACAAATCCTCTTATCAAGAGGACCTACAAAGCTTAACTACAATTCAAACAAATAAGTATTGTCATGTATATGATCCATGAAAAAAGACTTTATATTCCAAATTCAAGCTTACATAACACATTAACTCCTAATAGTTTATTATCATATCTTTAGGGTATTTGTAGTCAAGGATTTGGTTCAGCCATTGTACTTGAACCCCAAGCCACACCAATCTGATTCTCTTTCTCTATGTCTCTGTCTTTTTTCCCCTCTTTGCTGCTAGTTCAAGATAGGGAGAAGCAGGGGTTTAAATCCCTCTCCACCTAATAGATTCCCTCCGCATTGCCACCTCAACCTTCATACAACCCAACCTCATTTTTAATCAATGGGCATATGGCCCTACCCTCTCTGATATTATGCCACATCCACCAATTGGTCAAGAGCATGGCTCATATCCAATCTTTGCATAACACCCCCCTCTATTTTTCATATTTGCATATCCTTGAAGTTTATTACAATATAATATCAACTTTTTGCAAATATTGATATAAATTCCTCAATTGATACCAAGCTAAGTAATATCAACAAAATGAGATCAAAATTTTGGATACTACACCACCAAAACTCAAATTTGTTGTGATTTATCTTCTTGCGAACTATTCCTTCAAAGTTCAAACCCACATGTCCTTGTTGACCACAATGATAACCAACTGGACCTAAGTTACTCCTTTGATACTCCACCAACTAATCAAGTTTTCCAACGAAGTTTTTCTTACTTTGATGCTCCACCAACTAATCAAGTTTTCCAATGAAGTTTTTCAACAAAGTTCTCAAATCAGATCCATTAACCGCGTACAAGCTTCAATCAAATTCAGATTTTCATATTTGCATTGCTCCTTCATACATCATCAGAAGGGCTCCAAATCCTTCCCAAGAACATAAGTCTCTACATATATGCATGCAGCATAAATATATAACCATATGAAGTCAGACTACACACTATTAAAAGAAAAAAAAGATTTAACACTTTCTGCGTCATCCATTCACAATTCGCTACCCGTCACTTTATTTTTTTGTTGTTGGTCACCTTTAGAAGTTTGACTAGCTAACATCCCCTTGCAGGTGAAGTGTTAAGGATGTTCTAAATCTACTTTTTTAGGTTCGAGGGAAAGTTTATAATTCACTTCATACACACACATACATGCCTCAAAGTAAAACAACACATGTTAAATTCTAGAGCTTAAGCATGCTAATTTCTAGTTATCTTTATTGCAAATATAATGTATCCATGCATTGCCTAGATTTTCTCATAGAAAATTATAGAAAAGCTTAGAGATAATGGCCATATAGTTAAGCTTAAAAATAAAGACCGATGCAATACAAAAAATTTAAAAGACTACTTCAAGCCGAAAGTTTGCGTACCTGTTCAAGCACGGAGTTCACATCTCTACCTCTCTCAACTGTATCCCGCCTTATTCTTCGGGCAAGCCTAACATCAGCATCTAGATACAAATTGTAAGAAAAAGTGAAGAATTTGTAAGTAGAAATTAATATAGGTCTAGCCAAAAAAAGATCATCATAATATGAATGAAACTAATAGGTTTCAATGCTCCGCATCTTTGTTATCCATGCACGCTATAATGATATTTGTATTATAATTTATATGTTTCAGCTAATGAATATAAAACATAGGAACTCATTTCAGTACCCATCTAGATATAAATACGAATGTCCATATAAGATTTAGTATAAGATGTCTAAAAGTATGTTGCAATTTACCATGCAGATGGATTAATCTTATTGTAAATTGATTAAAAAAATATTTTACCAAAAATTTTGTGTTCAGCTAGATGGCCCTTCTCTCCGTTTCGCTGCTTTGAGCGTCATACTCCTCATTAGCAGATCCCATGCCTTTTCTTTATTGTTTCAGTCCATGCTTGTTTTAATTTGCATCCTTCACCACAATCCTAATCACTCCTCTAACTATAAGCCTTCACAGGAAAACTACTAGGTCTTGACTAGCACTAAGCGGTCTTCATTGAACATTTGAAGACTATCTACAACAGGTCACCCTCATCTTATACTCAACTGAAGCTAGACTTAGATCTAGGCACCCATTTATTAGCCTTATCTTCTAGTATAATCAAGCATTCCCATGTCAACTAACTTGTTTAAACATGTTATAATTTCCAAAACATGCTATAATTTCCATAATGATATGAAGCATCTTAAATTATATAGCCTTTCTGCAAACTTTTGCTTTCAACTTCATGGGTATTTTGCAGCTATAATCATATTTCTTTCAAGTTTTGACTCGTTTCTACATTCGTTTTAAGCAAGGTTTTAAATGTCGCCCGACATATCCGACATGTTGGCCGACATATCGGTTTGAGGGCTTGACCGACACGACATGGACGTTTTCAACTCGTATGTCGGTTTTCAGGGTCAAATCAGAAATATCAGGGTCATATCGGGCATATCGGTCTATTTTTTAGCTTTGAAAAATCGACCGATATGGTACTTTTTTTAAGAGCTGTTTTTTGTTATGGGGGTTGGGTTTAGTGATAAATACTCAAAACTCTTTTGACCCGTTCTCATGTTTAAGGATTTCTTATGAACCAGATAGAAAGAATTTATGAACCTAAATCCATATATTATTATTTTTTATGTGTTTAGTCTATAGAATTTATAAAGTATGCTTATATTGAATTTATGAATGCTTAGATTACATTTAGGACACGATATTATACATATGTGCACTACCTGATATAAAAATCCGATATTTAGTCAATGTCCCCCGATATATCCCCGATTTTCGCTATCCGACATGGATTTCAGTCATCCGACATGAACCCGACATCCGACATTTAAAACCTTGGTTTTAAGGATTATCCCTACTCTAACTTCACCAACCAATACACATGAGTCCAAAACCCAATATTATTCTACTTGTGAGTAGGGAACTATATTGAAAATAAAACAATGACTCTATAAGACATTTCTATTTTTCTGTAAAAGAGCTTACATATTTTTATTCACCAAGTAATAAAGATAGTGGATACTTTTGTATGCATCCAAACAAAGCTTTTGACACAGATAGAATGACGCATATGGAAAATAGGTTAACATGACAATTTTTTGCCACGAAAAAGTAGTCCAAGATATTCTTGTAGGATTAATATAGATCCAGGATTTACCAAGCATTATAATGTACTACGATTACAAAGGTTCAGACAGCTTGACAGATTAAAGGAAAATGTCATCCTTGGAATTAAGGTGAAGCAATAATTTCGTTAGTAAATAGTAATGTAATATCCTGAAATTTTACATCTGATTGCTTCACGAGGCAACCTAGAAATGCAAGTCTTGGTAAAAGTGCAAATTCAATACTATAGGGCCTTAAATGAGAAGATGTAGAGCCCTCCACAAATCCCCCAAACCAGAAACTCAGTCTTGTAATGGAATTATATATTTAAGATAAGATGATGTCATACTTCAAATAATAGTTGATCTCTTGAGTCTTGATTAAGAATCCAATATCGAGCTCCAAAGTGTCCACTAAAGCAATCTAGTAATTTAGCAACAAAACATTAATCCTTTCCCAGAAAAGGTATATTAAGCTTACAAAATATGTACTTGTTTACAAATTCAATGCGAATAATAGGAATATTTCAAACGAAAAATATAATGACAAAGCTGAAATAAAGATACTTGCAACACCTCACAGAAAAGTTGTTAATGAAAATGACAAGCCGTAATATTTAAATATTGCACATACTTAACGCAAACAATGTACTTAGTTGCTACAACATTTTACAACATCAGCACAACACCAGCACTTATTACATAACTCATAAAAGCATTTAACATAGTAGAACTAAAATGCTGAAGGTTTGCGGTCATATATGAAAAAAGGGAAAGGCAAGGGGAAGAAAAAAAACCTGTGTCCACAAAAATCTTCATGTCCATCAAATCACGGACACGTTGATCATGGAAGACTAAAATTCCCTCCAAAATTATAACATCTGATGCATTAACCTAAAAAGAATGACAAATCAGGGCACGTTTATAACTAGTCTACTGTATCATATAAAAACATAGAACTCTGTAGCTCATCCCTTAATACGGTCACAAAGAATACTAATAATAAATGGGTTCCCCCCCCCCCCCCCCCCAAAACCACCTTTAACATAGGGTGAAAATAAAAAAAAATTCCATTCATACAGAAACCATCTATAAAGGGTTTCCGGTTGCAATCAATCACCTTAACCTATTTTTTTGATGAAATCTCAATTGAAATCTCCAAAATACCCTTAAAAATACATGTGCCAGGCATGTGACATGTATTCTTAACCATTGACATTTTAAGGATTTCAATCAAAATTTAACTAGAAAACAGGTCCAGATAATCATTGCAACTGAAACTCCTTTTAAATGTGGTTTCAATATAAATTGAACTTTAATTTCATATTTTCACCCTATTTTAAAGTTGGTTTTTGCGACGAAAAAAACACCCTAATAAGTATATGCCTATTATGCTTCCTAAGATTTTAACTAAAAAATAAAAAAATTCACAGTCAAGGACTAGCAAGGGTATCTAAACATTGTTCTAATTTAGGAGCACACTGATATGCATCCTACATAAGTTTTAACTGATTCAGCTCTGTTAGTGGAACTTCTCTAGAATAGATATAACAGTTTTCAAATTAAATCACTAATCCCATTGCAAGAGAAGAAAATAAAATAATAAAATTCTTAGTATGATTTAAGCCACCTGACTGTTCAAGTTTGAGTGGCTTAAATTCATATGTGATAGATAGCGACAAGGGTCTAGTCAAGCACTAATTTTGTAGAGTATGAGACATATATGAATTTTAGATATTTATTTTAAGTTTTAAACCAAGCCTAAGTTGACTAGACTCAATCACGTCAAGTACTATTAGGACACAAGAAATTGAATATAATGCAAATACCAAAGCTTAATCTTATATCATACCATATACGAATGGGGTTTACGTTTAGTTCTTTTGTTCTTTCTTTTTTTCCCTTTTCCTTAGGCAAAACCCAAACCATTAATTTTAATCTTCACTGATCTTTTATGCAACCACACAGATTTGTCATTTAATCCCCACCTAGACACCCAATTTAGGTCGCAAACTTCTTATAAATGTAGGTCTGGGCTAAAATCAGGTCCAAACCCAATATCCTGTAACTTATAAGGGCGAAGGATTGAGCCTCTCCCCCACCCTAGTGTCCTCACCAGTAGCTTTTCTACTTCTTTATCCCCCTCCCTAGGTCCTTAATTTCACTGTGAAGATATAATGAGAAAGCATTTCCAACGAGGTTACTGTCTCCAGATAGTTGAGCATATACGATTCGCTAGTCACCATAAGTTTTTTGTATCTTCATGTGTTTTTCCTTTTTTTTCCTTTTTTTTAATGTGCCTGTGCCCTAAATTTGAGAACCTAATGTGACTAAGCCCCTCACTTTTATAGACATGTGACTAAGCCCCAAAATTAATGTTTTTATATGCTTAACCTTGTTCAACCTATATTTTTTCCTCATCCCCAAAATGTCCTTTATCTTTTTCCTTCTCTCCTCCTTCCTCCTATTGTACTCTCTCTCTCTCCCCCAGTCCACCCCTCCATCCTCTCTTCTTTGTCCGTCCTCCATCCTCTCGTCCTCTACCCCACCTCCGCCCTCCTACTTCCGCCCCTCCTACTTCCGCCCCTCCTCTCTCCTATGCCACATGTGGCTAAGCCCCAAAATTAATGTTTTTATATGCTTAACCTTGTCCAACCTATATTTTTTCCTCATCCCCAAAATGTCCTTTATCTTTTTCCTTCTCTCCTCCTTCCTCCTATTGTACTCTCTCTCTCTCTCCCCAGTCCACCCCCTCCATCCTCTCTTCTTTGTCCCTCCTCCATCCTCTCGTCCTCTACCCCACCTCCGCCCTCCTACTTCCGCCCCTCCTCTCTCCTATGCCCATCCTCCCTCTTTTTTTACCCAATTTCATTCTCATCCCCCACTCTCCTCCATCTCAGCTCCATCCTCATCCCTCCTCTATTCCTCCTTCCACTCACCATCCTCCCTTCCTCTCTTCTATCTCATCACCACTTTCCTCCCCTCTCCTCCATCCCCTTCAGTTCCACTTCCACCTTCCTCTCTCCTCCTCCAACTCATCTCCTCCTTCCACAACTGTCATCATAACTCTTTAAGGTCATTTCCTTTGGCTAACACGGTCATCTCTTAAAGTTACGCTGAAATTAACACTTAACAGTTAAAGTTATCATCTAAGCTTTTTAAAATTTAATTTTAGAAATGCACATGTTAATTGTAGATGATAGGTGTTACCTTAGAGGGAAGATGTTAATGTTAATTGTAGATGATAGATGTTCGGGAAGATGTTAATGTTAATTGTAGATGATAGATGTTCGGGAAGATGTTAATGTTAATTGTAGATGATAGATGTTACCTTAGAGGGAAGATGTTAATGTTATACAATAGTTGTCAATCTTTGATGATAGATGTTAAGTTTACAGAATATATATTAATTTTAAACTTTCACATGCTAATGATCCAATCCACATGTTAACTTTAGGGAATAACATATAGTTAACATTTATCTATTAAACATGATAGCTATATCATATAGTTAACATCTATCTCTTATACTTCTGCTAGATGCTAATTATAAAGCTTAGATGTCAACTTTAACGGTAAGAACAACAGTTGTGGAAGGAGATTATCCTTGAGAGACGGACTCTGAAAGATACAACAGCAATTGTGAAAGGAGGAGATCAAGATGGAGGAGCATTGTGGAAGTGGAATGGAGGAGGAGGAAAGGGAGGGGAGGAAATTGGAGACAAGATAGAGGAGAGAAGAGAGAGAAGGGTGAGTAGGAGGGGCATAGGAGGGACGAGGATGGAGTTGATATGGAGGAGAGAGTAGGAAGGAGACTGAAGTTTGGTGAAGAGAGGACAGATGAGGAGAGAGAAGGATGGATGTGGGAGGGCAGAGGTAGGATGGAGGAGAAGATAGGAGGGTGGAGGTGGCACATAGAAGAGAGGAGGGAGGTTGTAGGGTGGAGACAGAGAGAGGCAGAAGAGAGATAACAAGCGGAAGGAGGAGAAGATGAAGAAGATGAACAGGATTTTGTGGATGGGAGAAAAACATGACTTGATGGGGGCTTAAACACAAGAAAACTTCGATTTCAGGGCCTAATCACAAGCGAAGAAAAGTAAGGGGCTTCACGTGAAGTTCTCAAACTTGGAGGCTAGGCACATTTTATTCTTTTTCTTTTTTTCCATGTTTAGAATTACTGTATCTAAGAACAAGGTCATCTGCTTCCATTCCCATCTCTCCTCTTCCTTCCACGCTATCTCTACTCTCTTCTTTCTCACTTCTCTCTCATTTCCCCCAATTGTCCTTTCCTTACTGTCTCTTCTATTATTTTCTCTTTTCTCTGCTACTGTTGATGCGGCAGTCAGATGGTGGTTTTCTCTTTTCTCTGCTACTGTTGATGCGGCAGTCAGATAGTGGCAGCAAGAGAAACGGCACTAGCAATCTCTGTTGCCTGCCAGCAGCCCAGCAATACCTGCTGTCTACAAGCATCTGCAGAAGCGAATAAGAGGGGGGAGAGAAGAGAGGAAAGAGAATAGAAGAGAAACAAGAAAGAAGACAAGTAAAGAGAAGCATATCAGTCTACTGCTGCTTCGTCCCTGCTGTAAAACTGAGAGTTAAAAAGGGAAAGTGAGAGAGAAAGGATTAAGAACTAAGAAGGGGGAAAGGTTAGAACTATAAGAAGAATAATTATAAATCTGCGTACTCAGTACATCATTCTCAAATGACAAAGATAACCAAATAATTATTATTTTCTACCTTCACACTGATTCTTCGTATTAATGCTTTGTGAAATGGTTTCCTCCCTCCTCCCCTAAAATGACAACATAACTAAGTATATTTGCATTATATGAATGCTTGCGAATTGTCTCTTATTTTGCAGGCTGCAAAGAGGCTAGCAGCCCATTAACAGTTTAGTTTGTTTCACATACTCCCATCTCCTACCAATCATTTCTTATTCCTGTGCTTGTGGTACGTTTAGTAGGATGTAGGTAGATCCCTCGAATTGTATGTATCCCTATGGCTGTGACACCCATGCTCTAATCTAATTTATTCTCTGTTTCATCTAATTTTAGAGCTTACTGCGCAGATTAAGGCAGAGGCAGTAATATCATTTACTACTGCTGTATCAATAAATATTATGCTGAGTTATTGATTGCTAACTAAAATTTAAACAACTATCTTTCTACTAGTTAGTGTCCACCAAAGAATTAGTTACTAATGTAACAATCCCCTCACAGTGAAAGATGCCAGAAACAAGTTATAGAAGTTAGCTACTAAAGTACCAATTCTTAGCTGTAATCTATGTTACCAGAGTACTTCTAATAGAAAGTCATACCCGTCGCCGACACATACCCATGCTGAGACACTTCTTGAATATAGGCATATGTTTATTCAGGCGTAAACTCAATTATATAATACATATTTTAATTTAAAACACCCCTCATAAACTTCTTGGACTTATATTCTACACTTCACATCTATTTCTTACATATTGATCTTATGTGAATGAAAAAACTATATCAATCTTAATTCTTATGTAAACTATTAGTTTTCAAACATATAAATATACATAATGTACATGCCCATAGTTGTGTCCATGTACCCTAACTTTTACAAATTTGCCATGTCCTGTACCCGTACCCATGCAATTTAGGCTATAATATATAACACAAATATGAAGAAAATCCACGTTTACATACTGTTTACTGGTTAAAAAAACAGTTTCATTTTGTTTGAGTATCTACAAACACCATTAATTGAAAAAATGAATTACCGAGTATACTTGTAAGAAGGAGAATGTCATGGTTTTCTACCAAGGATACCTTTCGAAAACTTTCAGAACATCGTCTGTGGTTCTTAAAGTCATATATGGGAATATTGACAGATTTCCCACTTTTAAGCTCACCCATACACTTGAGAAGTTGTTCTGTATCAAAGGCCTCTGTGAAGACAGACAGAAAAGAGATTAGAAACTTTCAAAAAAATAAGAGATTAGAAACCTCAAAAAATGAAAGTTCACTCCCTGCTAAATACATACCTTTTTATATAAAAGTTACAAGAAATAGTATCAGGCCAGACCAATACAGTTAGCAAAGTACCTGGATGATCAAAATTATATTCATGGACACGTTCAGATTCTTCAGCTGTAAGACCACGATAAAAGGAATCCTGCATTGGAAAGTCACTCAGGAGAAAGATGGAAACAGACACCACATATTATCCTGAATCTAGGACTCAAAGCATTTGCTAACCCACCGCATGTATGTGTATTTCCAGCACAACATACCAGAAATCGAACAGAGTCACAGAAAGCATAAAATAGAGGCATGGGTATATAAAACAGAATTAATGTCCTCAACATCATCACATACATTTCCATAAAGAGTAGCATCACAGAGCACAGCAATAAATAAGGATATAGGGGAGGAAGCAAATTTTAGAAATTAAAACTAGTAAAATTGGTGTAGTTTGTTCCACAAATCAACGAAAAGTGTGTTCCATGAACTACCAGTACTGCAATCAGCGAACAATTTACCTTGTTACTAATGCAGTTTAAGCTGGTGTAAGAATTCCCACCAGACTACAAAAGGGAGAACATAGATCAGAAGAGATGACATAAATAGAACTCATCTCCAAGAAATAATGCAGGAAAAGGTTTAAATTGTGATACAAGACTGTGATGAGCAGATAACAACTTCATGTTTACCCTGCTAGTCTAAACACAGGAAAGGCTGTCTAAATCAATCACAAATCAAACTTAGGGTGTAAGGTTGCATTATCCAGCCATATATAAAAGAGGTAATTGTGCAATATAAGCAAAAACCTCAAAAAATAATTAACAAGGCAAACTTAACTCCCAGTAGAAGAGGCTGCCTATGTTGCTAGATACTGTTGCTAAAATCCAAGGATATATTAACAAAACTTGTCCTTTTTTCCTTCCCCCATAGCTATGAAAAAGCACATGAAATTCCCTCGAACAATTTAAGACTTTGGAACTGTCTCATATGATTGTGATTATCATTCAAGTAAACAACATTTCACTTCTCCAACCACTTGTACAGTCGTACTGTTGCAAAGGTTTATTAACATAGTGAAAAAGGTCGACCAAGCAAACTATGTTTGTTAAGCAAGTGACAAATGAAGGGGCTTGACATGTTACAGTGACACTATTGAACTAAATTCACAAGTCAGAAAACATAGGATTCCCTTAACAAGACTAATTTATCTATTTATCCTGGCAAGCATTTTTATTAGGGAAAAAGATATGGAATCCTAATATAGCTTACTTCTTACTTTTCATTTGATTAGATCAATCCATAACGTCAAAAAGAATTTCACATTCCCACGTATGCATTGGTAGGGTTTCTTCTCAGTATTCTATAGAGCAAATGCAAGTTTCACCCTCCCAAGATAATGTATAAGGCACCCACTAAATAAGGGAGGAATTCTCCAGGTAAGCTGATCCTAGTCTTGAACTTTGGACCTCCTGCATCACAAGCCAGCTCTCTATTAAATCCTCTAATTTCTTGTTTACTGTAGTGAGAACTGAGTGTAACACTAGTAAGAATTCGCACAGATAGTCATGGTCATCATGTGTAGCAAAAGCATCTCCTATACCAGAACCATATTCCTGCAAGATGTTCTGAAAATTCAAGTTCATTTTTTTTCTTTTACGATGATGCCTACACCAAAATTAGTATAATTATATTTCCCCGGCAATGCCCAAATCTCACAGCAGTCCTTCATCCACCCCAATTTGCATCTCTAAGAGTTTATTCAGTTTCTCCCACCAACCCTCATCACCATATCCTTCTTTCTCGATAAGGAGCATCATTCATAGTTCTTTCATTCCTAGGAAAAACTTCACATCATCCCTCTTCTCCTCACCAATCATCGCAACAACTTTGCTACTCTAATCAATAATTTGATTCTTCTCATGGCAGATACTGTGCTATCTAGAAAGGAGTCCTCAAATCATTTACATTGATTATTTCATGATTGTTGAGCTCTTGAGGTCCTTGAATAATCCACCGACGAGCAACAGCATGTCAACGGTTTAAAAAAAAGATGAAACTCAACAAAAAGTAGTGTCTTTGCCGTGTAGACAGGGCTCTGTATGCTGTTAAGCATAAAGACAGAGGTAGTCAATACACAGACTTAAAATTTACCAAAACTCTACAAAATCTGAAATTTCAAGAAAATGAATAATCTTTTAACCTGATTGACGAGAACCACGCGGTGATCATGGAGCTGCTGGATGATCATGTCGCACACGGTCGTCTTCCCTGACGCCGTCCCTCCGGAGACCCCTAAGACAACCACCAAGACCAATAAACTCACCAATCAAACCAAAAGGAACAACTAGGGTTAGGTTTAGGGCTAGGGTTTATCAACCGATGACGAAGGGCTGATTCGGGGCTTCATTGGAATCGTCGTCGACGGTCTGAACGGCGGCGTAGGCGTAGTGTATTCTCTTTGGATATGTCGCTTTCCAGTGTTTTGCTCTGTAACTGCAGGTGATCTCGTATCGCGGGTGAAGTCCTTCATGCGGTGACAAGCCCACTTTCGAAGTTAAACTCTACTCTGGTGAGTTTACGCTACCGGCGAAACCAGGGCGACGTCGAGCTCACCGAGATGGTGAAACTCGGCCCCTGACGAATTCGAATTGCTGGTAAGGTGAAACTCAATTGGTTGACGAGTTTGTTTGTCGGCGAGACTTGATCGCAGCGAGTTTTGCTTGGAAGCTAAACTCAACTGTTGGCGAATTCGAGTAGAGGACTGAACTCATTTGCTGGCGAGTTTCGCTTAGAAGCGGAATTCAACGGCTGGCGAGTTTATGTTGCGGGCGAAACCCGTATAGTGTTGGACTTGTGTTGGAAACCCGACTCGATTCGCCTGGCGAGTTTGATCTGTAGGCGAAGTTTGAGCAGTAGTGAATTCGAGTTCCAACCGCGGGCGAAAACTCCTGTCACGTGTCGGTCAGTGGGCCCAAATGCTTGCCAGCCAAGACTTTGCAGGCGCATTAATGCTCATTAATGGTGAAGCGACCGATCGCTTCGCCTCTCGTGCCCAATCCGATATGTCGGTTTGGGGTTTCGAGAGCAGCCTTAAAGGCGTTGAGTTCGAAGCGTCGCAGGGTGTTCTGACCGTTTGATCGCTCGGGGTGCCGAATCTCAGCCGTTGGGTTTCTTATAATATATATCCGTACTCGTCTCTCTCCAGCAGAATCCTTACTGCTTCGAGAGAAATCCGCCAGAAAGAGCTTTCCACAAGAATTTCTCTCCCTATGGCTTCTTCTTCTGATCATAGTGACGCTGAAGGAGTCGGCTCCTCTGCCACCGTCGTCGACGCGGGCGCTCCGGCCGCCGTCCCTATGGTCCCGGACCCCGTGGCTCACCCTGCCTTCGTGCCGCTCCAGCACCTGGTGGATTTGGTGCACGGGATCGCTGAAGTGAGGGCCCGACGCCGACTCCATCGCGTCTTCTATCGATTTCTCCGGCATTTTGTCGAACACTCGGTGCGTTTCCTTCTCCTCTCTCCGTCTTTATTGAAGCTGAGACTGGAATCGGTTCGGGCTTTTTTAGTAGCTCCGATGGAATCGATGCCCTTACGATAAATGCTGGCGGCACCTTTTGTGGGTTCCGATGAGATGCCGATATCCTGGGGAAGAATATTCGTGGAGGAAGTTGCACTTGGCGATGGGACCCCCCCAAGGTAGGAAGGCGCCGCCCGTAGAAGTGGTTTTTAAGTGATGATTGAGAGCCGTTCGCTTACTGGTGGGGCCCACCGTAGGCAGTGCGAGCACAGGTGGTTTAGGGTGCTGATCCTACCAACATCATTCAGGTCTCCTGATTTGATCATGCCTATCTTATCAATCACGTAGGAAAATGAAAGATGTGATCCATACCCGCCAATATTTATGACGGTACAAATTGGAAAGCAAAGTCGGTTTCCCTCGCGTTGTAGCAAAAAAAGAAGAAGAAAACAAATATGAAAAATGCTAACATATAAAAGAATTTAATTCAATTAAATTTATTGAATGTGATAGTTGAGAGTACAAGTAAGATTATAGTGGTCTGTGATAATAATGTCAGGGCAGGGCAAATCATATGTGTAGTTATTGTATTGTCAGTGACTACTTAGTAACGACTATGTGATGAATTTCACGGTGCCCTCAAAAATCTACAAGTGTGGAATCACTTAAAAACTTGAAGAAGATAAATGTAACATGCATGTGGTCCAGAAAGATAATGTTTGTCTTGAAAAAAGGAAAAATATATCTAACTACTTAGAAAAGAACTTATCCATATAACAAATAGGATTCTGCCACGTGGAATGAGTAAGAATTTGAAAAGCAAAATTAGAAAACACGCAATATTGAGTAAGAATTTGAGAAGAGATCCTACATCCTAGATTGTATAGAATAACTAAGTGTATAGGTGGATAAATAAAATTAGTTGACACAATATGCCCCACAATTAAGAGAGTTTTTTTATAATTTATTTAATGGGCATAGATCCTCTACATCCTTAATTATAGAGAAACTCTACAATTCACTAGTCAAATCTCCTCACTCAATGCAACCCAAAAATAATATTAGATATTTAAATTATACAACAAATGTTTAATTGTGGGGCCATTGAGATAAACCAATAGTATTAGTCCACATAGCTAATTGTAGGTTTTCTCTACAATCTTGATTGTAGAGAATCCGGGCCCGTTAGTTGCAGACATCCTCTACAATCTATGATGTAGAGGATCTCATGGCTAAGAATTTTATCATAACACCTTATATAACGGGGTGATTGATACTATTCACGGGTAATTAAAGATTTAGTTAGAGAATTATAATTCAATCTATTTATGGCGTAGATCACCCCGCCTCTATAGGGGTGATTCTGATAGGATTCCTACTGCTTTTGACCTGTATGCATCATAATATCATGGGTTTTACATAGAAACCTCTTTACTTTTACCCAAATTAATAGATATCGCCATTTACCTTTAAGGGACTACTTGTTTCCTTGCATTTTGCAACTTTGAATTAAAAAAACCGGGACCTACAAGACCAAAATCCTGAATTTTAAATAAATATATTGTTTGAGTAGTATTTTTTTAATCATAAATTTGGAGTTGCCGTGTAAGATTAATGCATTAATTATAATTCCCTAAAAATATGCTAACTTCATTCTGATTTTTACTGAGGCTTATCTAAAAAGAAAAAAGGAGTGATATTATACCATATTATCCTAACCAAATTCATGTTCTATTAAACAAGAATTTTTTGCTTAGATTTGTCATTCACCAAATACTCTTCAATATGCATGCAAACAAACAAGATTATGAATATGGATTTTTTTAGATCTATAACACGCATCAAAACTAATCCATGAACCAAACAGCCACTAACTGTTGTTTGGCTGCAATGTCACGCATTTTGAAAATTTTAAATTTAAAAAAAAAAACCCAAATATCCATAATTTCCTCGCTTCTCCTCCCCCTCCACCGAAATCTCCCTCTAGTGAGTTGAGATGACAACAATTTGAGGCAAACAGTGAGGAAGCGGGTGCATAGGAGAGGCCGGAGAAGGAGGAGAGCGAAGGGGGAGTTGGCCGAAGAAGTTGTTGTAGGAAAGGAAGAGGAGGCAGAGGGGTGAGAGAGGGGATAAAATAGAGAGATGGCTGGAGAAGGAGTTGGATTTGAGGTTGAGGAAACTTAGGGAGATGAAGGGACTAATGAGATGGAGGGTAAGGTCCGCGAGGAGGAGGAGGAGGAGTCAGGATATTATGGGTATTTAGGATCTTTTTTAATCAAAAATGGCCAAAATATGTGACAATACAAACATTACAACGATTAAAGGTGATTTCCATAATAAATAAATAAAAGTAAAATGTGGTGTCTATTAATTTGAGTAAAAATTAAAAGTGTGTAAAAACCGTAATATGATGTATGATATTTTGGGCACAGATAAGTATATTTTGGATACATATACTGGATAAGATCCTGTAGGCTAGCCAATCTGATGGAAATTAAGGAATGGGGAAAATGATGGAACGGGAAGAAGAACAAAAACAAAATCAAGATAAAATAAAAAAATAAAAAATTTATCAACAAAAGGCAAGAATAGTTTGGAGTATCCAAGGGGATAGATGCACCAATTATTTTCATTCAGTTATCAAATCCAATAGACACCAAAATATAGTGATGGTTCTCTACAATAGTATGGGTGATAGAATCACTAATGGTGAGGGGATTGTTTATGAACTAATTACTTTCTATAAGAACCTTATGGGTACTGCTATTGCAACATCTATTCTTGATAGCAACATTATTCATAATGGACCCTGTCTGAATGAAAATCAAGCCAGGTGCTTATCTACACCAGTTACTAAAGAGGAAATTAGAGTTGTAATTTTTCTCATGCTAGACAACAAGGCTTCAGGTCCTGATGGCTATAGTGTTTTCTTCTACAAGTTAGCATGGTCTATTATTGGAGATGAAGTCACATTAGCCATTGAAAAATTCTTCAAAACAGGAAAACTGTTGGGTGCAGTCAATTCCACTTCCATAACACTTATTCCCAATGTACAATGCCCCAAAACTCCTTCTGATTTCAGACCTATATCATGTTGCAACTGCCTTTACAAGTTCATTTCTAAAATTCTTGCAATAGAGTTCAATCTGTCATGGGGTATGTTGATGTTTGATATCACACAGCCAATTGAAGTTACGGAGTCCTTGAGTTGTCAAGGGGTTGAATCGTCGTGGGAGGGGGCCACTTCCTAATTCGACTTTATGCCTGTTATTAGAGCTCGAGACTGACATATGACCTGCACACGTAAGAATCGTGAGAGGACGGGGCATTTTTCCCCCGTGGTACCTCCAACGATCAAGTCAGTTGGTGAACTTGAGTGGGGTGAAAGAAGAACGATGTAGTCTTCCTTGTGCAGCATGTGCTTTTTAGGGGTTTTAGATTGCCAACCTGCCAACTTGCGGACCAACCCTCCTTTTATGGCGAATAATATCTATATTTATAGAGGATGCCAAGGGTAGATTGGTCACTTTATGAGTGTACTATAAGAGGTGGTGAGGGGTGAGCTGGAGGTTGAGTCACCCTTTGTTCTATACGTGTCGGGTTATGAGTGACGGGAGATCACTTCAGCGACCTTAGGAGCCAGCAGCTGACGAGTTTTGTCGACTTGTGAGTGACACGAGGTCACTTCAGCGACATTGGGAGCCAGCAGCCGACAATTCGTGTCAATTTGTGAGTGACGGGAGGTTATTTCAGCGACTTGGGAGCCAGCAACCGACGAGTCTTGTCAGCTTGTGAGTGATGGAAGGTCACTTCAGCGACATTGGGAGACAACAGCCGATGAGTGTTCAGACGGCTGAGGACGAAGACATAATGATGATCATCAAAGGTTAAATAATATTGAGAAGTAATATTCTGGGTCATCCTCGGGAGGAGTGTCAGCTAACGCTGAGTAGCGATCTTTTGATATAAAGAGGATCGACTGAGTCCGCCTCTCGAGTCGCCTTCGGGGAATGATGCCGACTCGACTGGGGGAGTGACGACTTGGTTGTCCTTCAAGTCGACTCCGAGGAGTGTTGAATCTCTGGAATGCTGATTTTCATACCGACTAACACCGCCTTCCGAGTCGGCAGATCGTGTCGGCTCAGCTGAGGGGTCAAGATGTCTTGAGTCGACCAGCAATATCTTCCGGGCCGGTCCACCTGGTGGGTAAAGGTGTCGCTTGCGGGGTTGCATATTTGTGGGGAATAGGGGACACCCTATAACAGGATATATCATTAGTGAAGCTCAGAGTGCTTTTGTAAAAGGCAGACAAATATCAAATAACATCTTGCTAGCTCATGAGCTTGTCAAAAGCTATGGCAGGAAGCATCTATCACCTAGGGTCCTGCTTAATATTGACATTAGAATAGCTTTTGATACTATCAGCTGGAATTTTCTAAAAGAAATGCTAAATGGACTGGGTTTCCCTAGTGTGATAACAAAATGGATTATGACTTGTATATCCTCCCCGAAGTATTCCAATACTCTTAATGGCTTTCTTCATGGTTATTTTAGAGGTGAAAGAGGTCTAAGGCAAGGTGACCCCCCTTATTTGTTTATACTGGGAATGAAGTATCTCTCAAGGAGTATGGATTTGTTAAAACATGATAAAAATTTCAAATTTCACTCAAAATATGGTAATCTAAAGATCACTCACCTAATTTTTGCTGATGATCTACTCTTATTTAGTAAAGGGGACCTCTACTCAGTGTAAAAGCTTTATCAATGTGTCAAAAACTTTAGTGCAACTACAGGCCTTGAAGCAAATCCTAGTTAGTGTTCCATTTTCTATGGGGGAGTTGATGATTATGTCAAGGCTTCCATTCACAATTACTTGGGTTTCTCAAAGGGAGTCATGCCAATCAAGTATCTTGGTGTTCCTCTTATATGCAAAAGGTTATCATATATGGACTGCAATCCTCTCTTCAATAAAATCACAAGTCAATTTCAAAACTGGTTGAAGCATAGGAATTTATCATATGCTGGAAGATTACATATTATCAAAAGTGTTATTCTAGATGTTCAAATATACTGGACATCTAGTTATGTCTTACCAGTTAAAGTCATCCAGAAAATTGATGAGCTATGCAGGAATTTATTATGGGTAAAATTTGATCAAGCCTTCAGGATCCCTTTTATATCATTGGATAGAGTATGTTTGGGGAAAAATCATGGAGGTTTAGGGATCTTTTCAGCTACCATCTGGAACACAGCTACTGCCTTGAGAACTCTTTGGTATATTCATACTAGAGAAGTGTTATTGTGGATTAAATGTTTTTATGGCACCTATTTAAAAAACAAAAATATTTGGCAAGTGAATGTGAGAGCTGGAGACTCATGGATGTGGAAACAACTATTAAAAGTCAGAGACAAAGCCTTGAATTTTTATGGAGGAGTTGAAAATTTGTAACAACTAATCTGTTCTTGTTACAAAAACTCTAATTTACAACTCTCTGCTCTGTATTCTGCTCTATCCCCCGCAACAATCAAGGTGTCATAGCATGACACAGTTTGGGAGAGGATGAGCTGTCCTAAGCATTCTTTTGTTTTTTGGTTAGCAGTCCAAGACATGCTTCTTACCCATGATAAATTGCTTAGGAGATGGATTATTCATATCAACCATTGTTGCCTATGCTTTGGTGCAGGTATGGAGAGCTGCAATCACTTGTTCTTTGAATGCAACTTCTCTAAGGGTGTTTGGAATAGTGTTATGGATTGGCTTCAATATAATTAGAGAACTTCTGATTGGAATCTACTCTTGAATTGGTATAGTACCACGTTGAGGAGGAAAAAGCTTCAAACAAAGAGTTAAGAGAATTGCATTATCTACTACAATATATAGCATTTGGAGGGAGCACAATGCAAGAATTTTCAAGCAGAAAATCAGAAGCACGGACCAATTGATTAGAGATATTAAAGTTGATATTATGACCATGATCCTCAACAGTCCTCTACCAGTCGAAAACAAGGAATGACTACTCTCTTTGTAAATGTCTAGTTATGTGGTAAAAGATTGGGTTGAATCCCTTTAGTTTTGTTTTGCTTTTAGTTATCTCAGTTACTGAGCATCTTGATGTACAAAAACTTTACAAATTGGTGAATGAATAAAATTTCTTCATTGACCAAAAAAAAAGAATAAAAAGTAGTGAAAAATCTAGCATGTAATAATTGAATAGTAATAACTGCTTATGTACTGCTATAATATGCAAATGAAGCACTAAACAAGTTGTAGTGAAGCTTGAAGAGTGATAGTCAAAGTGCCAATAAATTCTTAGAAATTCTCTTAATAATAAACATCTATAAATTTTCGCATTAACAATTAACAATGAAATATTTTTTCATTTAACTACTAGGACCACCATTAGAAATTGGTGTACCTACAATTTTCCTCCCCCATAGAAGAATTAAGGCACAAAAATGAAAGTGTACGTGTCCTCGTAGTAATTTTTGAAACATATACTCTCTTTTCAATTTTTTAAAAAAAGAAATAGCTATAAAAGGAATAAAATCTCACCTCTAAAACAGCTCTAATCAGAAAGTTCACTCAATCAAAGAAGGGTTTCTATCAAATTTTACAAGATACATAATAGATTTAGTTTAGACTAAATAGCTAACTAAAAAAATCATGGAAGTTTCGTGTAATTTAGCCTTTTTGTGTTTTAATAACATGCCAAGTTCAAAATTTTCTTTTTTCAAACAATTACCAAGTACAGCTGCGTCACTACTGAGGCGGTTGATTTATATTTCTATCTATACCATTTTATCTGTGCCTTTCTTATTTATTTGGTGCTAAATTTTGGATAATTTGCCACTCATGCAAATGGAAGATTTGACGCATTACAAGCATGTTCTACGTCACTAGAGCATTTCTCTCAGCATATTCAAGGATATGCCAACATGCATGTCTTGGCCAAAATAGCATCCACTTATATAACAACCTATTTGTTCGCTTCCTATATCTTCATCTTGAAGCTTTTGAGGCTGATTAGGTGAATATACTGCAATTATAGGTTTTGCTGTCATTTGTCTCTTTGCTGATATATCCATAGAAAAGTTTGAGAAGATTATCCACAGGTTTGAGTACTAACTTCCAAAATTAGGGAATGCATATTCAAAGGAATGGACATTCGACAATTTTGGAGGTGGATGTGTCAAATGTTGTATGTTATAAGTATGGGTGTGTGTGTGTGTGTGTCATTGTATGTTATAAGTGTGTGTGTGTGTGTGTATAGATTTGAGGATATCGACAAGTTATCTATTTCTTGATAAGCATTAATGAACCAAAAGTGTACATATATATCTCACAGGATATAACACTTAGCATGAAAGTATGTATCACTTGAGTGTACTTTGTTGTATTTCGGCCAAGATAATGATGGAACAAAACATGAGTTAAAAGATCGCACACCTGTAGGTAGCCCTTTGTTTGTTTCTTATATCTTCATTCTGAAGTCTTTAGCTTTATTGGTAGAATGGAGGTATCCCTTGGATTGAAAGAGTTGTTCTTTTGTTGATATTGCTAATTTCCAAGCCTAGGGAATGAATATTTTGGTGGCAATATGACTGTATCAGCATGTAACAAATTTACCCCTTATTCCTCTAATACATGTGCGGTCAGTTCAGACAAATGTCTCCGATTTCATTTTTAATATAGTATTATTATAGTATAAAATGAACTCCCAATCCTTATTGGTTACTCAAAAAATTTCTCAATCATACTTATAATTTTGACATTTTCATATAATGAAACAAGACCTTGAGATTATATTAGAATAGCCCATGTTCAAATCTTAGAGGGGACACAGCATTTAAAACACATTTAAAAATATATTATATGTATCATAACTTTAGACTTTTTTGTGTAAGATACTAGTGGAAGGATTTTCAGATGTTTTCACCTGATTAATAAGCCTATTGTAAGAAATTACAAAATTTTATTACAGACAACTTCAGATTTTTCTTTATCGTAAAATTAATATATCTTTTATTTATTTATTTATGTATTGTTAACATAATGTATCTTTTATTTGAAATCCAGATCTTTGGGTGGAAAATCATGCGTCAAGAAAAGGAAATATATAGATCGTTAGATTTCACATTTCAATGCCGTTCAGGTGACTCACTTTCACAGAATCACGTTTACAGATCTTTTTCCTTCTCCTTTTCTTCCCCCCCACCAAATGTATATATGAATATTAATCTGGTGCTTCATTTTTTATTTCAGATTTAACAATACAGAAACCCATATAAAATGTACTCATTACATCAAAGACAATAAGTCACAATTTATGGCCATTTTTCATCAGTATTTTAGGTATACTAAGCCTCGTTTATGAAACTGGCCAGAACCACAACTCATATTCTTTTGACATCACCAGTTAGATATTTGTCTGTAAATTTCTTTCATTCATCTATTGTTATTATTATGATTGAAAAAGGCGATGATTGCGTTATAGACTATTTCCTTTGCAGATACTCCCATGACGAAATCAGCATGTGCATAATCCTTAACAAATTGTACAGTGAGCTTATCTCCATCATGCAGCTTGAGATCATCGAGCAAGAGGCTAACATCTCCAACATCAGAGAGTTTATCACGACCACCATAGCTAAGGAAAAGGGGGAAATTGTTCGGTATGCTTGAGAGGTTGTAGATTGGAGGGTAGCCTTGACCGTATTTTTCGATATTGATGACTCTGTTCTCGTAGTTGTATTTGGTGAGGACGCCATCTCTAAATGCTATAAGATCAGAAGAGCATGACATTGTTAATTAGTTACAAGAACAAAACTATTTTATGGAAAAAAAAATCTACTCAAAATTATGAAAAATCTATTGCCTCAAAAGAATTATTAAAAAAAACTCAGCAATAGGCTTTTTACATTATCACTGATATAAGTGCCATTGAAAGGAGGAAAACGGCATTATCTACATAAATAAGCAGGCATTTCTCTGCGAAAGAATATGGGAAACTTCCCTTGCAGTTTTGAGATAAATGGTGAGCTTACTCTGAGCCAGATGCACCATGTTCCTTGTAGATGTAGGCTGCGGTTCATATTGCAAGAATAGCTCAACCGTTGACGCGTTGAGGCAACAGTTGTTTCCTAAATTTTCAAATAGCATTAGGAAAGGGAAATAATTTAATAATTTATGCTACTATAAAATCCTAAATTTTTGGAGAGATAAAAAGTTTATCTTTGTAGGTAATGAGCACAAGGTACCTGTAAAGGATGTCATAAGGTCATAGCAGTCTATCCCTGGATTGTGGCAGAGAGTGCTCAGGAATCTTGATACAGCTGCCCTGTTCTCTTACACGAATGGAAAGAAATAGCTCAATGTTAGCAATAACTTGAGTCATATCTATGTTTCGATCATAAAGATGTATTTTTTGTAGGCTCACCCTTTGGGATTGAATTCAGCAATTCCTAGCCAGTTGGTTATAATCTGTTTGATAGAGATCAAACTGATGTATTAAACATCTTTTACGCATGAATACATCATCATTAAATATATATTAGTCATGAATTAAAACTTACTTCACCAACAAAGGCTTTAGCTGCGAGAATGCCCAAAGGGGTGGTCATGTGAGTCAAGTATGCCACTGGACTCAACAGTGCAGCTGACTTCAAGTTGTTCACCAACCTCCCCTCAGAGAAAGATGCTAAAGCTATCAGAGTTCCCTGACATGATTAAGAAAGAGGTCATAGGTTAATTGTTCAATTTAATAAATAATTTCTAGATAAGTAAACGGGCTATTTTCAGGTCGACCATAGCTCATGTCAACCGGATAGTTGGTACATTCAAGTAAAGAATCCTTGGATAAGGATACTGATCTTCAAATTCTCATGTTTTGCACTTATCCAATAATAGAATCTTTGGTGTATCAACTATTCAGCACTGAGAATTACTACATAATTTCTCTCGTGCATAGAGATGTCCCTTTTCGCCTTCTTGGTTAAGAAAAAAAAAGCATAAAATGATAAATCATTAATGTAGGGTATCATACCAATGAGTGCCCAACATAGTGCAAGTTCTGACCAGTTTGCTGATGCACAAAACTAACTAATGCAGGGAGTTCGTAAGCAACAAGCTCATCCCAAGACCAATTCCAGTACGCCTGCACAAATACTCAGTTGTTTCAACTGATACTTTTGAATCTAGAGGCCACTTAAGCTTCAATAAAATAAGAGTTACTAATTTACCGAGGTTGAGGGATCGAGAGAGACATGGCGCCTGCTCCATCTTGTACCTCTGATGTTGGCAACCCAAACATCAAAACCGCTGTCTGCGAGAATGAAGGCCAGGGATTCTTTTGGAGAGTTCAATAGCCATGTCATGCCATCCTGCCAACGTAGTAACATATTTACAAGCATTTAGAGTTCCTAGTTGTGAACTTGGTCATAACTCATAAGTGTGTTATCGTATCATAATTAGTATGTGAAGCCATATATATATTTAAAGCAGGCCTTACTCTGTTTAGGGTGGTGATACTTGCCATGATGTAGTTATTGTCCAAATAATATTTAGTCTGTGCAGAATTTTCTATGTAGCATTCCAAATTACATCATTTTCCCAATCATGTTTATCTGATAATTCCAAATATAACAATCTTTCGTAATTCAGATAAGCTTCAGTCAACTACATTTTCTCAAGAATATCATCTTTAAAACCAAAGTGAATTTCCAACTAACATTTCTTTTATTCAAAAAAAAATCTTTAAATTTTCATTAAAAGAGAGATGATTATGAATGAGGAAATGATCAAATACATCCAAAAATATTTGTATATGTTAGACGTTACATACGAGTCAAACCCATCAAAACTAGTAAAAAAAAAAACAGTACCATGAGTACTCCATGCTGCAGCAACACAGGCTGCCTCATACTCTCTCCCCTGCTCCCACTTCCATCTCTCCCCTCCGGTATCCTCTGCATGCTCAATATGTACCCATCTTCTGTTGTCACCTACCACCCAAAAAAATTAGCGAAAACTATCGAAATTAATTTCACCAAAACAACATCAAAACTTTCACAATCAACAAACAGATCTTCGACTACCCAACACGCAATCACCTCATGCTCTTGGCACTCGTAGCCCATAGGAGCCACCACCGACGCGCAAATCCCAACGGTCCGTGAAGCTGGCGGNGAGCTGCAGGGTCCTGCGGCCGCCAGCTTCGGACTGCTGAGGAGCAAGAAGCAAGAGAATCGGAACGGAGAAGGCAAGGTAGTAGTCCATAGCTAATGGCAACGTTACGAGAGACGCTGGCGGTGAAAGGTAAGCTCGGCTGGGTTTTTATAGGGAGTAACAAGAGTGGGGAGGAGATAGAATTAATCAGTGAAGTGTGAACACCACAACCTCAAGTCTTTTGGTTTGGCTTTTTCTTTTGAACTTTAATTAAATGAGGTAACTGACTAGGGATATAGTCTTTGGTGCCTCAAAGTGTGGGCCTTGCATGTTTGGGTTCTTCTGTGGTGATCACAACGCGGGTTCTTCCTTGCTTTCTTATTCAACCATTATTTGCTCCACGCTTTGCGCTGCACTAAAGCAAAGAAAGATAAGAGAAATGGAGGAAATTAAGACTAGAAAATTAAGTAAGATTCAGTATGTATATTCATACAGAGGTGCATATACGTACACATCTAATTAATAATGGAATTATAAGCTGGCGGACTCAGTACCTTAACCTGACGCAATTAGTTTATTAATTAGCTGCTCAAGTCTACGTCAGGATAATTTTTTAATAGCTTATTAACTTTTAAAACATGAACCAACTTAATTCATATGTATCTTGGCTTTTTGTACATGCACTTTTAAAAATACCCATTTTAACTAATGGATGTATTAGTGCTTAGAAATGCATAAACTATACGAATTTCCGCAGTCAAAACCTGCAACAAGAAACTGAAGTGATCAATCAGCTACAGTTTTCTTACTAAATACTCGTAGCCTATGCACGTATTATTATTACAGTGCACGAGGCAGCAGGAAGGGATAACGAAGTATAATGTGAAGGGGGCAAAGAGAATTGAATGCTCTTTTCCCAAATTAGTTGTAGTAGCACTGGATAGCAAAAACAAGTGGCTCATTATGATTGAGCAGGTGAACTGAAATTGAGACTCTTATCTTTGAACTCTGATGAGATACATCTCCTCCAACATCGATGCTATTTAGGTTTCCGACGCATGGGATGCGCCTGTGCTTCTTTGGGTTTAAAACAATTATTAATTAACGGTTTTTCTATAGAGTGTCCATGGGCACTCTATAAGAGAAGAGAGACATAAAAAGAAATAAATTATGCACAGAAATTAATGCAAATCAGGAGGGGCCCATAAGCTATTCATTTCTCTCTATCTCTCTCCTCTCTTATAGAGTGCCCATGGGCACCCTATAGAAAAACCCTTTCATTAAGAGTGCTGTTACGAGGATCCAAAATATGAGACCAAGAGAGGGGACAGGTGAGGTGTCCCCTCCCTATTGCATAATGAGTTGGCCATGCCAACTCATTATGCAATAGGGAGAGGACAATGTTGGATTTAATCTAATAAATCTAATTGTGGGCACATATGATTAATCAATGTGTATTGCTATCTTTCAGAATAACCCACTAAAGTGATCAATTAATTTGGGTTAATTGGGTATTTAAATAAGTCATGGGGTTATATGTGCAGATACCAGGTTGTAATTGTAATTTGTTGAGGGGCCAAATTACAAATGTACAACATCTATAAATAAGGGGTTATGGTCCCTAACCTAGGGTTACATTCTCTAATTCTCTACACCCCCATCTAGTAAGAGAAATTCGGATTTAGAGGAACCCTAAGGTTAGAAGATCATCAAAAACCCAAATCAAGATTTCTTCTATGGATTCAGGTATAATCTTCCGCACTCTTTTGATTATTGTTAATCTCTTCGAATTAGTCATGGCTATATGGTTTTAGATCTTAAGTTTTGGTTTAGATCTAACAAGTGGTATCAGAGACACCTTGATTAATTCTTAGGGATTTAAGTTTTATTGGGTTTTCTGATTTTAAATCTCTGGTTAAAGATTCAGTTTTGTTTTTCGGATGAACAGTAATTTTTTTTGTTCGGATGAACAGTAACAAAAATTTTTCGGCTGAACAGTAAAGTTTTTTTCGGGTGAACAGTAACGAAAATTTTTCGAATGAACAGTAAAGTTTTTTGGATGAACAGTAAATTTTTCGGCGATTTTTCCTTGGATCTGGATCAAGAAAACTCATTTTTTCGATTCTAGATCTGTTTTTGATTTAATATTGGACAAATCAGGTTATTCTTGTTCATTTGGAAACAGTCAATTCAGTTTATCTTTTAATTCAAATGTTGTGGGAACCGGTTACTTGAGTATTTATGACAACCTATATTTGCTTGATACAATTGCTTCTTACAATGAATCCTTGCATGTGGAATCACGTGGTACTAAGCGTAAATTAAATAAGGAAAATTCGGCGACATTATGGCATAAGCGCTTAGGTCATATCTCAAAAGGTAGAGTTGAGCGTCTTGTGTCTGATGGCATTTTGGATTCCCTTGATTTTTCGGACTTCGACGTATGTGTTGAATGTATCAAGGGAAAACAGACCAAAGTGAAGAGATTAGGTGCCAACAGATCTTCGGATGTCTTAGAATTGATACATACGGATATTTGTGGGCCATTCCCTACGGAATCCTGGAATGGTCAACAATATTTTATATCATTCATAGACGATTACTCACGTTATGGGCACCTATATCTTATTCATGAAAAATCTGAGTCTCTGGACATGTTCAAAGCCTATAAAGCTGAAGTTGAGAATCAACTCAACAGAAGAATTAAAACCGTCAGATCTGATCGTGGTGGTGAGTACTACGGTAGATATGATGGTTCAGGTGAACAACGTCCAGGACCATTTGCTAGATACCTAGAGGAATGCGGTATCGTCCCACAGTACACTATGCCGGGTTCACCTAGCATGAATGGTGTAGCTGAAAGACGAAACAGGACTCTTAAGGATATGGTAAGAAGTATGATTGCTCATTCTTCTTTACCAGAGTCACTCTGGGGAGAAGCACTTAAGACAGCAGCTTACATTCTGAATAGAGTACCAAGTAAAGCAGTTGCTAAAACACCTTATGAGCTTTGGACTGGTCGAAAGCCCAGTTTAAAGCATTTACATATTTGGGGATGTCCAGCTGAGGCAAGGCCTTATAGGCCAAATGAAAAGAAATTGGACTCCAAAACAGTTAGCAGCTACTTTATTGGGTACCCTGATCGCTCTAGGGGCTATAAGTTTTATGATCCCACTATAAGGAATATTTTTGAGACGGGAACAGCAACATTCTTTGAGGATGTTGAGTTTGGGGGGAGAAATAAGGTTAGAGACATTAGTTTTGAGGAGGAATTGGCTTCAGATCCAATCCATACAGTTACTTTTGACAATATTCAGGTTCCTATACCTGTTGTTGCTCAAGAAGTAAATCCGGAACCTCAAGATGATAATGTTGAACAACTCCCTGTTCCAGAAGAACAAACTCAACAACCTCAAGAACCAGTGCCATTAAGGAGATCCACGAGAGAAAGGAGAAATGCTATTCCGGATGATTATATTGTATTTCTCCAAGAACATGAGGAAAGTAGTGGAATGTTAGAAGATGATCCAATCAACTTCTCTCAGGCCATGAAAAGTTCTAACTCTCAACAGTGGATTGATGCCATGAATGAAGAGTATAAGTCTATGCAAGACAATAAGGTTTGGGAACTTGTCCCATTGCCAGAAGGTGCAAAACCAATTGGTTGTAAATGGATTTTTAAAACCAAGCGGGATGCAAACGGTAATGTGGAGAGGTATAAGGCGCGTCTTGTGGCTAAAGGCTATACTCAAAAGGAAGGCATTGATTATACAGAGACTTTCTCTCCGGTTTCATCGAAAGACTCTTTCAGAATAATCATGGCACTTGTTGCTCATTATGATCTTGAGTTACATCAGATGGATGTTAAGACTGCATTTCTCAATGGAGACATTGATGAGATGATTTATATGGTGCAACCAGAAAACTTTGTGTCAGGAGACCCAAAGAATATGGTTTGCAAATTAAGGAAATCCATCTATGGACTCAAGCAAGCTCCTCGTCAATGGTATCATAAGTTTCAACAAATAGTTATCTCGTTCGGTTTTGAGATGAACATTGTTGATGACTGTGTATATCACAAGTTCAGTGGGAGTAAGTATATTTTTCTGGTTCTGTATGTGGATGACATCTTGCTTGCCACTAATGATATAGGCATGTTGCACGAAACCAAGAGATTTCTATCAAAGAATTTTGAGATGAAAGATCTTGGGGACGCCTCTTTTATATTAGGGATCCAGATACATCGAGATCGCTCTCGGGGTATTCTTGGATTATCACAAAAGAGCTATATCGATAAGGTACTTAAAAGGTTTGGCATGCAAGATTGCAGACCAGGTGACACCCCTGTTGCTAAAGGAGACAAGTTTAGTCTCAATCAGTGCCCTAAAGGTAACCTTGAAATTCAGGAAATGCAGAAGATTCCTTATGCTTCGGCTGTAGGAAGTCTAATGTATGCTCAGGTATGTACGCGTCCGGATATTGCGTACATTGTTGGGATGTTAGGCAGATACTTAAGCAACCCTGGTATGGATCATTGGATAGCAGTCAAAAGGGTTATGAGGTATCTTCAGAAAACAAAAGATTACATGCTCACATACAGAAAATCAGAGAAATTAGAGGTCATTGGGTATTCGGACTCTGATTTTGCTGGATGCCAAGATAGCAGGAAGTCTACATCAGGCTACATTTATATGTTAGCAGGAGGAGCTATATCATGGAAAAGTGTCAAACAAACACTAGTAGCTTCCTCCACTATGGCAGCAGAATTTGTAGCTTGCTATGAGGCATCCAATCAGGGAATATGGCTGCGAAATTTTGTCACGGGACTGCGCATTTTGGAAAATGTTGAAAGACCACTAAGGTTATATTGTGACAATAAATCTGCAGTAATGTATTCCAATAACAACAGGAGCTCAACTAAGTCAAAACATATTGACATTAAGTTCCTGGTTGTGAAAGAAAGGGTACAGAGTGGACAGATATCCATAGAGCACATTGGGACAAACTCCATGATAGCTGATCCTCTTACTAAGGGATTACCACCTAAGGTCTTTCATGAGCATACTGCTCATATGGGTGTGGTATTATTTGAGGATATTATGTTTTAGTGGGAGTTTGTATTTGTGGTGCTTTATGTTTGTTTGTAT